TCCCTTGTGCCACCAGCTCCTTCTTTTCGCCATGTTGAATATGATTCATGTCCATCAATGATCACTCCCATCTCATTTCCTGGAAGTCTTTCTACGTCTGTCTTCAAGATCACACAAGATCACCTAAACAACCTAATTGCCAAGTGTTACAGAAATGGAACCCCTACTACAAAGTATAGCACCTACAATATCCTGGCTGCACATGTATGGCGTTGCGTAAGCAAAGCACGATGCCTCTTACACAATCAAGCAACAAAGCTATCCATGTCAGTTAGTGGAAGGCCTAGATTGCGTCCTCCCCTCCCATTAGGCTACTTTGGCAATGTTATCTTTCGAGCTTCAACAATCGCTCTATCGGGTGATCTCCAAACAGAACCATTAATGAATACTGTGGAAAGAATTCACAAAGCACTAAACCAGATGGATGATGCATACCTGAAGTCAGCTCTTGCCTACTTGGAGAAAGTTCCTATCAATCAAATTTCTTCATCACCAAGTGAACATGAGCAGCAATGCCCAAATCTTTTCATCAACAGTTGGCACTTGCCTATTCATGATGCTGATTTCGGCTGGGGTCATCCCATATTCATGGGGCGGGGGAATATCGGTGAAGGAATGATATACATACTACCTAGCCCAACTGATGATGGTAGCTGGACATTGATAGCAGGCTTAGAGACCTCTCACATGAAGCACTTTCAGCAGCTCATTTGTCAGAAGCCCATTTGTAACCTTTGATATCCTCCATGACTTTCAAAATCCTCCATGGCTTTCAAACCATGCAGGTGCATTGTCTATGTAATAAAGATTTTTCTCAAGAAACTTCATTCTACTAATAAATTTAATCTCTTATGCCAAATAATTTCTTCAGACTCTAGAATCAAAATATCTTCCAAAAACAATCCTAGACACAGAAAAGTCAAAATAACAATCTGTCATAAAGATTCTTCTGAAGAAACTATGATGCAACTAATAACCATATTCACCCCTGCCATATCTCTTCAGCTGATTACAGACGAAATATCTTTGAAAGATGATCACTAGTGACAAAGTAATTATATGACATTAAAATTGCCACGATAGACCAATCTGTAATGGAATGCAAGTGTAATGAAGAAAATAAGTGATGCTATAAGCTGAAACGAATACAGAGTATACAGCAAAACCAAAAGCTGAAAAATAACCAGCACAGGACATACTTTTATAACAAGAAAAAAATGAAAGCAAACAGTCTCCACACACATTATCAAGAGCTCCATGAACAATCATACAGATGATGTTTTCCAGGATCAATCCCAATCAATGTATGAGAACTGAGAAGTCCTCTATTTTGAATGGTTTACCCATCAGATTCGGAAGATATCTGTTTGAAATCTCTCGTCATACAATCTCCAGTGACCATACCTGTCAGTGTGGAAGACTGATCTGGGGATGTAAAAATTAGGCTTCTTTATCTCCTTCAGATTCTTCATATTGGATGATGCACAGGCAATGTCGCGACTAGTCAAGTTAGCACACCCAAATAAATCCAAGTACTCAAGGTTCAAACACCCCTCACAAATTGAAAGAAGACCTTTAGCTGATAACTTGGAAAACCGAATTTCAAGGTGCTCAAGGTTAGGCATGAACTTCCCAATTGCACTGGCTTCTGTGTCCCCATCTTGAGGGCAAGCATTCAGATAGTCATATGGCACAATTCCCGCATGTTGGGAAGTATCCAACCAATTCATAAGATTTCGCTTAAGAATCTTAAGATTGGGGCAATTCCTCCCTATGAAGAGTAGAGACTCATGAGATATTTCATAGCAATAGCTGATGTCAAGTTCTCGAAGTTTGGGGCAGAAAAACGATATTTGAGCCATTGATGCATCAGTAACACGAGGACAGCTCTTAATTGAAAGAACCTCAAGGTTTCGACACCTGCAAGTATCATCAAAGGAAAAAAAAAAGAAAAAAAAAAGGAGGCCTTCAAATATTGGTATTCAAGACCAAAACTATGTTTGGTACTCAAATTCTACTCCCAAACATAGTTTTATTGCTTGGCTGACTATATTACATAGACTCTCTACCAGCTCTAGACAGAAAAATTGGACTTCCTCCATTGATGACTCTTGTGTGCTATGTGGGAATGCAAGTGAAACTAGGAACCATCTCTTCTTCTCCTGTCCCTACACTACTCATATTGGGGAAAAGATTTCTTCTATGCTGGAAATCCCATTAAACTGAGTTTGGCAAGATACTTTGGATTGGTTATGTAAGAGAGTTAAACATAAGGCTTTGTACAGCTCTCTTCTTAAATTAGCTTGGTGTGCATCAATATATCATATCTGGATTGAAAGAAACAGCAGGATACATAAGCAGCTATACAGATCTCCTTCTGCAATAACTGATACGATTCAAATGGATGTCCGAAGACAGAGTACTAGGGTCTGTAAAGGAAAGGTCTTTTCCCATGTCAAAGGAGAATTGCGGCTCAATGGGGATTATAAATTTTGTGAACAGCTAAGTTTTGAACAGAGTTGTTTCATTCTTTGTACTGACATTAGTAGCAGCCTTAACCAAAAGAGCTGCCTTCTGTAAATTTTGGTGATTTTGGCAATAAATTCACATTTTAGCGAAAAAAAATCTGCCAGATCCTAACCTTCATTGAGTCATTATCCCAATAATCAACAAAACATCAGAATTCTTAGCATAAGACTTCGCCGGAAAAGACAAGTAAATACCTCTGGGCGGCGAAATTTAGAGAGAGATCAGAGCAGTGACGGGTGCGGATCTCGGTGAGGTTGCCGTCGCTCCAGGAGATGACAGAACGGAGCATGGAATCAATTATTCTCTCAAACTCGGGGGTCCACCAACGAGCCAACTCGGTGGATGACTCGAACAGGCGATCGAGATCGAAGGTGGAATTCAGAGATGGATCCTTACAGGCGCTGAGCCAGGACTTGCAAGCGATCATGGGGCCGGTCCACCGCTCCTCCAAGGTGAGTCGCGAGAGGATGTTGATGAGGCACTCGTGAGTCAACTCGGCCCAGTCGGGGCCGAGTCCTGATTCCCTTGATCCTTCCTCCATGATTTTTGAGGATCAATTTACAGAGAAAAGGTATTGTTTTGCTTCCGCCGTTCAAGGAGGAGTGGTCTTTTTGGCGCATTGGGATATTAGATAAATGAAGAGTGCCGACATCATAAGATAACGTGGCTAGCCCCTAAGCTCGTGGCGAAGCCATAAAA